AGTGACACGCACCAGTTTTGACCGAACGCATCCATTTCTCTTTTCTTTGTCGATAGAAACTATAATAACACCAACTGGCTCCAAGCTTCCAAACGCGTAGAAATGAGTTGGATCTGTATTGTCAAACAAGATGTCAAAACACTGAAACTAACAGAAGCCCTCAAAACCCAAACAGGCAATATACTTACCAAATTCGAATGCTCCAGATTTAAGTTCTTTCATGTATTCTTGAGCAGACTGATCCGGACAGTTCCCACCAAGTTCAGTCTCAACGTTGAATCCCGCCACTGAAAGATTCGATAGCTCAGCACCATCATGCACATACTCTGCTTCAGTAAAAACAGGCTCCAAATTGTTTAGTTTGCATGCCAAAGCAATTGAAGGATTCGCTTTAATGTCGAGAGAAGAAGACGAGTTTGACTTTGTGACTGACGATGGCGAGGAAGCGATTCGGTCACTCAGTGTTTTGGATGATATCGAACGCATCAGAAAGTGCCCGATTTCTCCAATGAAGGACGAGTTTGTGGTTGGACTGAGCGGGGTACTCATTTTTTTAATGGAATTTGTGGAGAAACTCAAACAAGAAAAAGAAGGTCACGTTTCTAAAGTTAATTTATCTCAACCTCTCACAATCCCTCCAACGTACTCTCATACTTGACGCGTACAAGTATTTTCCCCACATCGTCGTCCTTCTTTGTATCCCCACCAGCAGCAACAGCAACAGCACCGCGATTGCTCAGCCGATCCCCATTTATCAATGGCATACAAACCTCCCACGCTCGATCCCTCCGCTTCTCACCACAATAATCTTCCACATCCACTACAATAAACCCAAGAAGCGCGTCACCGACTCCAAGACTACTTCGACTCCACACTTCAACCAGAAGGGACGCCTCCCTTGGTCTCCGTACCGCCCACATGAACGATGAATTGAAGATTGGATTCTGGGAAGACTTTACAGTAGAGGTCGTGACGAGAGAATGTTGATGTCGATGTGGAAGTGTGAATGAAGCTGTAGAGTTTGTCGGCACAGCTTGTTTCGAAGTCGATGGTGGTGGTGGAATACTCTCGGCAGCAGGTGCAACAGGTGGAGGAGGAGCAGGTGCAGCTTGAAACAAACTCGTCAACCATTCCACAGAAGTCTGCGGCGCAGTTTTCTGTCCTCCAACCTCCTTCACAGGCGGCGCCTCAGCCACAACAGGTTTCACAACCTCACTTTTCGGGCTAGGCACTCCCCTCCCTTCCCCCATATCCATAAACTTGAGCACACAATACGGATTCACATTCCCTTCAACACCCATAAACCCAGCCCCCTTCTTCAACCCATCACAACCAACAACTTCAACCCGAAACACACCAATAGGATGCACCCAACCAGCTTTATCACCTGGAACCCCAGCCGCTTTAAGAACCTTCTGGAACCCGATAGCTCCACGCGGAGGAGTTGGGAAGTCCTTCACGAGCGGGAACACGTTCACAGACCCACTTGGACTGTCTGTAGCAACACGAACGAGAAACCGTCCTTCACAGCCAGGATCCAACGTTGTCGGGAACAGAACGTATCGTCCAGGTGACAACCGGATGCGGGTGAAGATTTCACGCGTATCAATGTAGGGTACTAAAGCCGCGACGTCGTATGTGAGTTTATGGACACGGTATTTGCGGTTTTCTTCGACGTGGAGGAGTGTGAATCCGATGCTGTTGAGAGGCTGTTTGTACGACGGAGTTGGGAGGGAATAGAGTGTATCGGCTGAAGAACGTAGTGGATGTTTTGCGACGAGTGCTGTGGTGGATGGGAGAGGGGTGTCACTTTGGATTATGCTGATGAGAAGTGGACTTGGCGTTTGGATGTCGATTATGAACTGTGGATTTTGAGGGAATGTGTCAGGGTTCTTGATGGAACCGCCTGCTGTTTTCGATGCTATCGACCAGGAAGAGTAAAACTGCCATGCGTTGGAATGTCCGTACTTGATTTGCCGACAGATAATGATTGATGTAAAGTACTTGATAAAGTCCTATGTGAATGAATGTGAATTCGTGGTAATCAACAAAACGAATCGTACCTCAAAACTCATGAAGAAACTTCCATCCTTCCCCTCCTCCAACTCCAACCTTCTCATTTCTTGTCTAGTAACAAGCTGCCATTCTTCGCTCCACGCTGTACCCCATTTTCCTTTGAACCCACCAGACCCTCCACTTCCCCATGGATTCCTCAATTTGACTAAATCGACTGGTCGTCTTCGCATATTCGACATGCGGATTTTAACTTTAATGACGTTTGTAACAGCATATGAATGACCGTACAAGAGCCCTTGCTCATTCGTTTGAGAAACTGACGAAGGTGAAGAGTCTGAAGAAGCTGGTGTTGGTTGTTTCATTGAGCAACTGACAAGCGATCCAGCCTTAATCTCTTTCAACAGAAAACTGAATAGCTTATCATACTGCGTTGAAGGCTTTGGAGTCGCTGCAGTGGCTGTGGAAGGCCCAGATGTACTTTGGAATTCAGCCATGGCTTCAGCAGAGCGAAGATTAATTTGTTCCGGCACGTTTCCTGAAAGATCGACAAACGCGCTTGTTGGAGAAGTTGTGGCAAGGGCGGCGTAATTTGAATGAAAAAGCTTTGCATAGGCCTTTTCGAGGAGAGAAACTCCGAATTCAGATGGATCTAGTGGGATAATAATCAGTAAATCACTTTTTCGGCTCCTTCATACTGTTACCTTTGGATCGTGCGTAAATAAGCTCACCAGATGGAGTACACGGAAGGTAATCATCCACAACGACTTCGACCCACTTTCCAAAAACAAAGAACCTGAATCGAAAGATTCCGGGATGTAAATCAGGACTGCGGTGGTACCCTCTGTAATAATTCCCACGTTTTCTTGCATCCTATGAATCCAACATAAGAATTTTGAGAGTATGGGGGGTCAATAAGAACTAAACTGTGTCATTGATCCAGTCTTGCTCTGTTATTTCAGGAACGACTTTGTCAAGGAGGGTGGGATGAATTGTCATGGCTGCGATGGCGTTGACCAGCCAATGGTGCCCCAACAGACCCTATCACTCAAATTCAATATCATTGACAATAGCCTTAGATTTTTCTTACAGGAGTAATATTTGCCGACACCGAGTTTCTGATAAAAAGCGTTGGCTGTGGCGCCAATTCACAAGCTCGAATCCAGACAACTTCTTCATTATCTGGAGGCTTCACACCAGGTCCATAGAGCGAAACATCTGAAGGCGGGAATATCTGATGAAGGAGGAAAAGCGATGAGTTGTTTGTGGCCAAGCTTTGGACAAGTTACATCGTCAACGAAGCGTCGTCGATTCTTTGCGTGAATTGAGAATAGTTTGGAGTAGTCTGAGAAGGAGCTTAATAACTATTGGTAACTGTGGGTTCTTGTACCTTGGCCATGGAGGTGCTCAAGCATTTCTTTGGTGGAGTTTCAATTTGATTTGCTTATTTCTCAGTATTGTGGCTCAGCCCGTGATTTATTAACACTGACACGTTATTTATGGTTATTCTACATCAAGTATATTCCATGTATTGTCCATAGGACCATATAGTACCATACTTGAAGGAAACTGAAACTGTTTCTGATGTTGGAAAGATAACATGAATAAATTTGATAATAAAGGAAAAGAAGAGAAATAAATAGATTTAATAAGGGAATACATAGAATTGGAAGGGGTGGAAAAGAAACCAAACAAATGGCCGCAACATCGCACTCCCTCCTTCACAATCCAACAGCCACTTTCTCAAGAGCAGTTGTCACCGTCTTTGTTTCATCGGAAGGTGTTACTAGTGAGCGCAGATTTGACAGGGGAACATCCATTGCTGCTCTAAAGGTGGGTCCCTGATACAACACCCTCCTACTCCTCATAGCATAAGCTGCTCTAGTACCCTCCTCGAACCCACCCTACTCCCTATCTCCATCTACCACCAGCTACACCAGGCTACTTTAAAGCCACTTTCTAAACAATTGAACAGGAACGCCTCGAACCAATCACCGGAATTCCAACATCCTCAATGCGCCTCACTCTCTTTTCCGCATCCGATTCGCCACTTTGCCAAATCGACGACGACGAAAAGCTGCTCGGATTTTATCCAATCGACAACTTTTGCAGAATCCACGCAACTGACTCAAATCCACACAGACAAAAGGGCGCGTTTACCGACGTGTCCCAGGTGAAAAAGTTTGAAATTACTGATGAGGAATACGAAAAGAGGAACGGTGCGTGCGGGATTTCTCTTTTGGTTATTGAAATGGCTTATTGTTGTTATGTGCTCAGACTCTGTCCGTGCTTTTAAGCAGCGCATGAAGCTGGGAAGATTCGCGGATGCAGCCTCAACAACGTCATCCACACCTGCACAAGACGAATTCAAGGAGGAAGCGTCAAAAATAAATGTAGGGGACCGGTGTCAAGTCATTTCAGAAGAGGCGGGCGGTCTAGCAAAGAGGGGTACCGTGAAATTCGTGGGACTGACTCAATTCAAGCCTGGATATTGGGTGGGGATTGAGTATGATGAACCAGTTGGGAAACACGATGGGTCCGTTGGTGGGGAACGGTATTTTGATGCAAAAAACAAGTACGCTGCTTTTGCTCGGCCCAACCGCGTGCAAGTGGGGGACTATCCTGAAGAGGACTTGTTTTCGGATTTGGAGGATGATGAAATGTAGTCACGATATTTAATATACTATTTGAAGTGTCGAATAAAGAATTTGGGAACTGCGTCAATGAATGAACTCACAGCCAGTACTGCAGTAAAAAAATGGTATGTCAACTTCATGTTTCCTGTGTGCTGTTGTCACCTGGAGTGAAGATAGATTGCAAATGCGCGTCCAGAACTTCAAGGCCGAACAACAACCACAATGATTCCAACACCTGAACGGCCCTGCTATCACTGTTCAGATTAACAATCTATCAAATGATAGCTATTTATTGTTCCTAATTCTAAGTAATTGGCTTCTTGAATTGACTAACAAATAGCATCATTGGAAGGGCAGTTGACCGAGCGGTCCAAGGTGTCACGTTAAGGCCGTGATCTATTTCGTAGGCGTGGGTTCGAATCCCACACTGCTCACACGTTTTAGAGGCGGTGGTGAAGAAGCGGTGTGGTGAGTTGGTGATGGTGGACATGATGGGATGGTGCGGTCCGGCTAAATATCAAAGCAATGCACTAAATATCTTCAGATTTCAAAATGCTCTGAATTAGTGTCTCAATGTAGAGAATGACGGCTAAGGTGGTTTGTCGATAGAATGTAACAACAAAAGCTGAGCCTTTTCACTCAACCAACATCCAAAACTTACGCGTAGCCATACACCACAATAGCCCAAAAATCACATTTAAAATATGTATGAACTACTTTCCAGATTCAGTTCCGCGCCGTTTGTGGGAAAACCATGAGTTTCTAATTTCTAACAACACGATGCAGGCACGTTCCTAGATCGTCTAGTGGCTAAGATTCGGCCCTCTCACGGCCGCGACCGGGGTTCAATTCCCCGTCTGGGAGCACTCTTGTTATTTAGCTTTTGTTGTGGGGTAGTGCGTTGTGGTATTTGACACAATTGTGTGGAATTGACACTTGTCTCGATTTTGCTCCACTTGACAGTCATTTCAGACTGCACATTATATTATACACCCTAATTATTCTTCGTGTTATCTGCTATTCTCAAAGAATACTTGATATTAAAAACTCTGTTAACTTCAGGAATAACTACTCAAGAAAAACCAATGTACGATTCAGGAACAAGTCCCTCTTTCCATACACCGTTGGAACATACTCGAACTTTCGACCACCCATCATCTTGGGCGTCGACAAGCTGAATATCGTCACCTGTATTTGCAGAAATTTCTTGACTGTTGGGTGCAGCCTGGAAATCGTACAACATCTTTCCGTTCTTCTTTTGTGGCACGGCAGGGGCTGGTGCCGAAACTGTTGCAGCTTCTCCTGTTGGACTTGTAACATCCATTTTGTTCGCTGTTGGAGAAGTCAAACTAGCAGTCGTTACAATCGGGACAATTGTTGTAGGACCTGCACTGTAGGAAACAGGCGATGGCAACACGTCTCCAGCCTGAATACTCTTTCCTCTCAACGATTCCGGAAGCTCAGGTTCTTTCGCTTTATCGATTCCTGCAACGTACACTTGCAAACGATGCTTTCTCAGGCCCAGATTATCGATCCGAGTAGCAAGGCTTTGTTTCTGGAACGTTAGTTCGTTGAGTTGTTTTGGGTCCGCAGACGACTTGGCCGAAACGACGGCTAGAAGGGACTCGACAGCGGAAAGTTTTGCTGTCGCGTCTGTGATTTCTTTATCGAAAGATTTGATTCTTGTGACTGCAAGTGAGCGGCCTTTTTGGGTGGCGCTGTAAGGATCGTGTCATCATCGTCCTTAAATGCAATTAAATTAGTTTTTTAAGATGATGTTATGTGAGCACAGACCACGTCAAGCAAAGATTCAGTTCCGGAACGACTATGCGCCGCCGAGGCAACACCTCCGACAACTGCTGCTGCACCGCCAAGAGCCGCAGCAACTTTTAAGCTACCAGGTTTCTTAAAATTTGCATCTCTCGCAGACTTGAAAACATTGGGTTAATTAATATCGAAAGTTTACCGATAAATAACTTACAGCTCTCTCTTCAAATCCAAAATCAGCAGGCGGATATTCATCATCGATTCTTAAACAAGCAATTGCAAACTGCGTATCAGAATCGGCATTTACATTCCCAAAGACGGTGCTCATTTCTTCGAGACCTTCGATATACATTGGGATGAGTGAGGAGTAGAATTCGTAATACTTTTGAAGCGCTGTTCGCGTTGCACGGATACGAAACTTAAAAACGTATTCGAAGTAAGTAAGATGCGATGTATTGACAAGTTTCTTACGTTTTCATCATCGGTTTGAATGTCCGTTAAAACTTGAGGAAGGAATTCAAGGAAGTGAGTTTGTTTCTTCGCGTTTGTCTCGACTGTTGATACCGTTTTTAGAGCCTCAGCAATTTGCAAATATGAGTAAATACCGATTATCTTTTGATAGGCTTCCATCGCGTCTGATGCAGCGAGTGCCTTCTTGTCTGCATCCGCCTTGGCCTGAGGAAAAGAATAAGACGCGTTTAAGGTTCGTGGGTGCACTTACAGTATCCAAGTCTTTTTGAGCTGTGTTTTTATTCGCTGAAACTTTGGCAAGGTACGCTTTCGCAGTCTCCATGTTTTTTCTCGGCTTCGAACTTCTCACGTAACTGAATTTAGACAGTCGTTAATCTTGGATTTAGGTGGCGCACAAATGTACCTTTTCCATCGCATTGACCTGTGTTTGGAGCTCAGCAGTTCCTTTCCGAATCTTATCGAATTTCTGGGTTTCGTGGTCAGAGCAATTCGTCAAAACCATTGTTGACATGTACCTCTTTGAACTTCGCGTCATTTTCTTTACTCTGGTATTTTAGAGTCTTTCGCAACTCAGTGTTGATTTTATCTGAGATTCCAAAGTGAACTGTTGCAACGGAATCGGCTTCAACGAGCATCTGTTGCCACGCCTTTCCCATCGAACTAATCAAGCGATCAATTTTAAGCCATAGTTGCCGTATGGTAATTGTACCTTTCAACAACGGTTTTGACCGCAACACCTCCACGACCCATCTTCTTTGTAATCTCATCTTTACAAGGTTTTACAAGCTTTTGAAGGCTGTGCGCGTACTCAGCCTCAATCTCTGCGCGTCGCTTCATAAACTCGTTGATGGACATCATCAGCTCTGTTCCCTCCGATGTATACGTTTCGAGTTCTTTCCATTGATCCTATTCTCAGATATTAGTTGTAGGATATTTGTGGAATAGAGAACGTGCCCATAGTTGATGCCCAAATGTGGGGATTGCAGTAGTCATGATGAAATTACGTATGAATATAATGCCTCAAAGACGGAGGAGAAACAATAGGGAAAGTTGGAAACAATGGGCAGAGTTCGATGAGGAAAGTGAAGGAATTGTCACACTTTCTTTCCAAACAAACGACGGCACCAACGCTTTTTCGTGCACCTAATGGCCGCTAGAAATCCTCTTGGACCACAAGGTGTCAGTCATGGCGACCGCCATCGAATCCCACCTCGCTCACAAGGTGCTTGAACATTTAACATATCAACACATCTAACTATCCCATCAGTCATAATGTACGAGGTCCACCTCAAAGAAGTCTTTGATAAACACCCAAAATCTCCCCACAAAGCGCGTCTACGCACAGTGTTCAATCTCCTCGAAGAAATCATCCCAACACTTGGCCCTTTCGCCCCAATCCTTACGATCCTGAAAGACGAACTTTTTCGAAGTGTTTATAGCAAGAATTTGACTTCGTGTGAAACGGATCCTTTTGTCGAACGAGTCCCGTTCTTTTGTACAGCTGGTCGTGTCGATGAGGCGCGTCAAGAGGAGGCAGATAAAGCAAACGAGAGCCTCGCAGAACTTCAGCAAAGGATTCGATTCCGTGATCATGATTTGCAGATTTTGTACAAGAAGAATATGGCACTCAAGTTGAGTACTCTTGTTTTTTCTGTGTCTGATGTCTTAAACGTCAAAAATTAGACAGGATATCACTGATTACCAAGTTAAAGTCGAGAAACTGCAGGAGAAGATTCGAGGGTTGGAAGACCAGTGTCATAAATATGAGATGGAGAAGGGAGAATCCGCGTACTTTCACACAGCACAAGAACATGGATTCAAGTCCGAGATTGAAAAACTGCAGGCATTTACTCGGCCATTCCCTTTCTCATAATACTAATTTTTGCTTTAGACCACCCTGGCGCAAAAGAACGGCATCATCGAAAAACTCACAGTGTTTAAGTCCGCGTACAATGACGCACCTGACAGTGTCTTGGAAGAGCGCGAAAAGAACAAAGTGGAACTTGTCATTGACTCTATTGGCATGGTGTACGAACGTTTATGAAATTCTTCTCCTCACCACTGATATTCAGAGAATACGATATCCACCAAGCTGAACGACTTCAAGAACAATTCGCCGAGATTTTGAACTATCAACTCGATGATTTCGAAATGGCTCTGAGCCAACTCCGCAAGAAGCGGGAAATTATGGCGGGAGTGATGATAAACGAAGTCGAACGCGAAGCTTCTTATTCCCAAGAGCTCGAAGAAGTGACTGCTGGATTCAAAAAACGTATCTCGGAACTGTTGGAAGAACAGACATTGTTGAAGCAGCATACAAATAGCTTGAAGAATGTCCTTTCCAGTTATGAAAATGATACTAAGACGGTGCAGAGAGCTGCTGATAGTGCGTTGAGACATTACTCGACAGTCGTGAGTCAATTTTACTTTCGCTGAAGAAATGCTGATAAATGATATTTAGCTTCATTATTCAGAAGATGGTGGACATACGTATAAGCCGTGGAAGCATGCTCCATATTGCGGAAAGTGCGGGGATCGAGTACGTTAACTCAATGTCAATCATATGGTTGACAAAAAACAAATTATAGACGATATGCTGTCCGCATAAACTTGGCTCGACGGATCCAATCGCACTCCGTCAAACAATCACACACATTCGGCTTGTTCGACCAGGTCTTAAACTTCGCAGCTACTGTAAGCCAGGTGACAAACCCGCAAAAGTGGTATCGGCTTTCAAAGACGAGAATGATTCAGATGTCGAAGAAGGCGAAGACGAGCAATTATTGGTAAATTTTGAAAGTCAAATATTAGTCGTTCTCATTTCGTGATACAATCATAGGTTACTAAGTCGATGAAGATTGTGTGGGAGCAGTACTACGATGTGTACCAAGGATACAAGCCAAAGTATACGCGTATTTTCAATCTGTGAGTTTGAATCTTGTTTAATTGTATGCTGACATTTCTTCAGTGAACGTACACTTGATTACATCCAAGAAATCTATGAGGCTCGAGTGATATACGAAGAGAAAATTGACAACCTTGCAAACAAGGATGACGATGTCCAATATATGAAATTCACTGTAAGTAGTTGATATATATTCCGCTCAATCTGAAATTCTTCCAGGACTTCTTCTACGACTTTTTTAACAGCCGCTACCAAATTCAAGAAGTAGCGCTCAAAGCCATCCACGACCTC